AAAAGACTATTTCATTCAAATATATACAGTCGGACAAAACAGTATGTACATATATACAATCATTCAGTTCAGGGACCTAATCCCTATTAAACAGTACAGTACAATAAACAAAACGGTTACAGAGACAAAGGGGGAACAAAACACCCCTAAGCCATAACTTGACAGGCTCGAACCTCGCAGTGAGGCACAGTGATTGGCTTGACAAACTGGAGCTTACCCGACGCTTTAACGACGGTCTGGTGTCTGTACACCTACATTATATATGAGCAGTGAGCTAAAGCCCAGTGAATAACACAATGCGTAAAGGGATTAAGAATGAATGTTCCTTTCAGTAATGAAAACAGTTCATTAAATTAGTATTTCAGTCGTTCAGTCAGTACAGTTATGTAGTACATCCATTAGCATAACAGTACAGTAAACAGTAGGTCTTAAAAGACCGAATATAAATGATGGGCATTAATCAGTAACAGTAGTGGTTCTAACAAGGAAACTGACAGAGATCTCTATAACAGTAGCAGTAAACAGTAGTTGCTAAGGATGCACAATACGATTCAGAATATAGGACATACATTCATTCAATTAACAGTACAGTTCAGAAAGCAGTATAGTTCAATTGTTCAAGATAATCATTTTGAACATATCTTTACACAGTTGTTACTCACAGAGTTCTGGGCTATAGTAAAGCTAGAGCGCGTCCCCAGTCGCACACTACACAGTTTTAGATTGAACACACACTAAGCTACACAGTTGGGAAAGATAATATACTTAATCTAATTTGCCTCGGTGTGGTTCTACATCTATATCCTATTAAGATGCCTTAAACTAGCCTAATAATGCTAGGATGAGATGAGGATGCAAAGATGCACTTTTAAAGCATTTTCAGATTTTCAGAAAACAGGGTCACGCTCGAGCGTAGGTTACTCTGCTCGAGCGGACATGCAGCACAGGTTTCCGCTCGAGCGTAGACTTACCCGTCAGCGTTCTCAAAACAGTCAAAAGGCTGGATAGGTGAAAATCACGCTCGTATGGGCGCTCGACACCCGCTCGAGCACTGAGAGCACAATGTCCGCTCGAGCGTCAATTATTCGCTCGGAGACTTCAAAACAGAACAATGCTGGGAGCACGATTTCCAAGCTCGGGCGCCACTCACCCCGTCGAGGGTGAGTTCAAATCTGAAATTTCCAAGTTTGAACTCAAGCTCAAATTCAACTTTTAAACATAATTTCGATCCTCTTGGGCCAATTTTCCAGGAAACATCCCAAACTCATACTTTACATGATTCCAAAGCTCAATTGTATCAAAGCCCAAGGGTGTTTCAAACAACTCAATTTCAAACCAATTTTCAAGAATATGAAGAACATGCAACATGCATGAACTTAAATCATTCCCAAGCTTTAAATACAAGCTCAAATGAGCTAACTCTTACAAAAACAGAATGAATCAGTGTTTATGATACAAACATGGACATGCATGTGGCAATTCTCCATGGAATCAACTCAAATTCAACAATTCAAACATGCATGCATGGAATGAGCTCCAATTCAACATTAACGAACCAATTCTTGACTTAACTCTTTCAACTACCATGATCCATGTTAGAAGGAACTTAAATACACAATAAGAATGATGAAATTCATACCTAGGTTCCTCAATTACAAGTCTAGAGGCTCAATTATGCACTTAAGCTTTCAATTCTTCAAGATTCAAGCCAAATCTCTATGTTGAATTCACTATTCTCACTATCACTCTCTCTTGGTCGGCTAGCAAGGACAAAGGGGCTGAGGAAATGTTTTTGTTTGAGTGAAATAAGGCTCAAAGATGTCCTAGGTAGTGGCCCACTCGCAATGACAATTTGGTAGATAAGGCAACCTATGTGTTTTACATTCTTTAATTTAATTTAATCATACCAAATCAATTTTCAATTAAATATACCATAAAATCATATAAATTCCAATGATCACAAATCATCAATCAATTTCAGATTCGGCCGCCGATAAGGCCTTCAATTCACAATTTAAACACAAAGGCATGAACAGATAATCAAATAGTCAACAGATAGACATACAATTAAACAGATATATTTAATCAATTCAATTCTAGATTTTAGTCAATCAGTTCAGTACTTCAATCAATTTAGTTACCAATCATAATCAGTCTCAGTTTAGCAGTAATCAGTGGTTAATCGGTAAACAGTGATGAGGATTGTTACATCGGTGGTACTTTTCATTGGCCGGTGGCATTCCAAAATGATCAGGGAATGGTTCAGAGGTGCCTCAAGAATTTTCACATCCCTCAAAGGTGCAGAACAGTGCAAATAGAGGCAACAGTGACATGGTAACGGGTTTTCGAGCAAGGCAAATCGAGCATGCATCATCCACGCATTCCGAGGCAGAGCTCCGGCAGTCTCTTTAGTTTCATATTTAGGCTGTTTTTGTAATTAATTTGTTAATTAATTAGAAGTTTTGTAATAATTAATTAGCTAGGATAGTTGATTCATTATTTGGCCTGTATTATTCTTTCGGAACCTCCGAGCGAGGGCAATTGTGTAATAAGTGTGTGTGAGTGTGTGCATGTCTTCCCACCCCCACTTCTTTCTCCCTTTTATTTATCTTCTTTCAATGGTTAGTATTAGGGCATATTTAAATTAGCATACCTTATGCTATGCATGCGTGCATTCATTCATCTGTATTGCATGCACCGGGCTCGGTACATCATACTAACTGAATGGTATTTCAATTCCAAGTTGAATACATGTTATCTGTTGCATTTCATATGCCATGTTTAGAATAGCCGAGCCTATTTAGGTTGCATTTTTGCACGTGTTGCATTAAGCATTTCAGCATAGTTAGGATTCATGCATGTTCACTAACTAGTTTCTGTTTTGGCTTGTAGTACTCGGTAAGTTTTTATGCTTTAGCATCCTTGCATGCATGTGAGTGTTGCCATGATAGCATGTTTTACCATGAGGCTATGTGCTTATGTGATATAACTTCCTGAGTGCCTGTGGGTGAAGGTTGGGTTATTTGAAATAGAACAATGCATTGAATGCGAGTTTTAAGCCCACTTGAAAGTGGCAAAACCGCGTTTTCTAAGCCCACTCGAGGGTGACAAAATCTTCATTTTTAACCTACTTGCAAGTAGCAAACCGTTTTCAAAACAAACATGAAATGTTTTGATCCAATTCAGGCAATCCAGTCTATACTTGTATGCTGTGCGCATCACATAGTAAATCTAGGCTAATAACCGGAATAGGAACGCATAATGTTTTCAAAACTCGATATCGTGGTTAGTAGAGGCCGATCTTCGGATCGGGCGAGCGGGGGTGCTCATAGCTGACCTTCCCTAATCGTACCCAAGTTCCCGAGCCGAGGCAACTTTGGTGATGACGGACACGTGGCCTTAGGCACGAGTCAGGGTTTCCTAAATTCTCCCAGAATAAAATATTTAGGTGGTGACTCTGTATCTGGCAAAGCAGTCCATATTTGGCACTTCTTTCTAAAAATCAGTTTTTCAAAACGATTTGCCAGATTTGGACTCTTTGATGATTCATCGGTCTTGCATTGCACTCTGCGAGATTAGATACAGGACCGTGATTATTTGAGTCTAAACTGTAGCATGAGGCCCACGGGCGTGTCTACAACAGGTTTGAACTCAGATGTTTATAACAGTTCAAAAAACAGTTCAAGATAGATGTTTATAAGTTTATGAAACATTTGAGTTAATGAAACCAATGGTGGTTCCTTGAAGACAACCATGGGACTGATTTCAATCATGTTTGCTTCCATTTGACACTGATTTACTTGATTAACTATTAGAACCACCACTTGAAACAGAATCTTTATACAGAAATTACATGGCTTTTTTGGGTAGTTTGATGAATAAGAAAACTGTTCAGTGGTAATTGAATGTGACAGAAAAAAGAAAGAAGTGACATTGTTTACATCGAATTGGTGTATGCTTTACATTACATGATAGAATAGATAATTGCAAAACTATGTTTGCAACATAGTTTTTAGCTTTAAAATATGGAAAATAGTATTGGGTATCGATTTTTCTTTGTGTTAATTGGGTCAAGGTTTTTTTTTTTTTTTTTTTTATCTAAACAATCATGCTGCTGTGTGATTTTTCGCGTGGTTGAATTTTAGTTGCAATTAGCCATCATTGGACATACTGAAAGATTGTTATTCTAACTTCTATTAACTATTAGCTACTATTCACACCACTAAATACATACACCACCACCAATCAATAAAAGCAAACTACCACCATGGAATTCGTAGCCTTGAAGGAACCACCATGGCATTTCCATTTGGTTAGATAGATATGAAAAAAAAAAAAAAAAGCACAGCACAACACAAAAATTCAGTTTTGGTTTAATCTGTTATACTTCAGGTCCAAACATTAATCTATTAATCAGTTTTGGTCCAAACATTGGTTTATAGTTCAGGTCCATTATTCAACTGTTATTAATTTTGGTTTATACTTTAGTTTTGGTCCAAACATTGGTTTATACTTCAGGTCCATTATTCAGCTGTTATACTTCAGTTTTGGTTTATACTTCAGTTTTGGTTTATACTTCAGGTCCACTATTGAAAGTTTAATCTGTTATTAATTCTTGAATAATCTATTATTATAATAATCTGTTATTAAATCATTTGATTTCATTTTAATTTTTGAATGAGCAGAAATGGGGATTGATTCAAATAGTGTTGAGAATCCTTTATTAAATGAGAGTGAAGAAGTTGAGAAACCTAAGAGGGGTATGTGTTTTACCTCAAAGCAAGAAGCGTACACATTTTATGCCAAATATGCTAAACATGTTGGGTTTTCTATAGCTTGTAAAACACAAGTTATTGGCGATGATGGGGAATTAAGATACTTTAGGATTGAATGTTCTCGATCGGGGAAGAGAATTAAAAAATCAGAAGTAAACCCTTTAAAGCCATCTCTGTCCACAAAAATTGATTGCAAAGCAAGGGTACGAGCAAGCCTACAAAAGGATGGGAGATTTTGTGTTAACTACAGTTAACCTTGAGCATAATCATGACTTGATCCCCACCAACTCACGTCATTTTGCAATAAATAAGAAAATCCTTAGTCCTGTGAAGAGAAGATTAGAAATTAATGATCAAGCAGGGATTGGGGTGTCTAGGAATTATAACTCAATGGTTGTTGAAGCTGGGGGTTATGAGTCTTTAACATTTGATGAGCGAGATACAAGGAATTACATTGAGAGACCTAGAAAATTAAGGCTTGGAGAAGGAGATTCCGATGCACTTCAAAAGTATTTTTTGAGAATGCACGCACAAAATTCGAGTTTCTATTATATGATTGATGTTGATACTGACTTTCGCATAAGAAATTTGTTTTGGGCGGATGCAATGAGTCGGGCAACTTATGAAGAATTTGGAGATGTTTTTTCATTTGACATGACTTACCTCACTAATAAATATGATATGCCATTTGCTCCGTTTGTAGGAGTTAACCATCATGGACAGTCGATTTTGCTTGGTTGTGGCCTATTATCTAGTGAAGACACTGATACATTTGTTTGGCTATTCAAATCATGGTTAAATTGCATGTCAGATCATCCTCCAAAAGCTATAATAACTGATCAGTGCAAAGCTATGCATAAGGCTATAGAAATAGTCTTCCCCAATACTCAACATCGATGTTGTTTATAGCATATCATGAAGAAGATTCCGGAGAAGTTGAAAGGGTATTCCCAATATGAATCCATGAAGATGGATTTGCAAAATGCAGTCTATGACACTTTCACAAAAGATAAATTTGAGATGAAATGGAAAGAGATGATTGCAAAATTCAATCTTTATGAGAATTAGTGGTTGGGGGTGTTATATGATGAGCGACATCGATGGGTTCCTGTCTATGTCAAAGATATTTTTGGGGCTGGCATGTCAACGACACAACGAAGTGAGAGCATGAATGCCTTTTTTGATGGATTTGTCAACCTAAAGACTACATTAAAACAATTTGTTGAACAATATGATAATGCCTTGAGAAGTAAGGTAGAGAAAGAGAAGAAAGCTGACTTCAAGTCTCGGTACAAAGTCTTTGATTGCCTAACTGTGTATGGTTTTGAGAAACAATTTCAGGATGCGTACACCAATGCAAAATTCAAAGAAGTTCAAGCAGAGATGAAGATGCTAGTTTATTGTCAACCGTTTCTTGTCAAAGAAGAGGGTTCAATTTGTACATATTTTGTGAAGGAAGCCGTGGTAGTTTTTGGAAAGATGAAACATGTGGACTTTGTTGTCTATTCTAATTCGACAGAATTTGATGTGCAATGTATGTGCTGGTTGTTTGAATTTAGGGGTATCATGTGTGCTCACTCACTCGTTGTGCTCATTGCAAGATGCATAAATGAGGTTCCAAATAAATACATTCTACCATGATGGAGAAAAAAATTTGGATAGAGGGTACACATGCATAAAAACCACATACACTGGCTTTGGGGATGATTTCAATGCAAAGGTGTATGATAAGATGAATAGAAAATTGATTGGCATTGTACAATTTGCTGGAAACTCTGAAGGGAAAATAAAACTTATTGATCGTGGGTTGGATGAAATCAAGGCGAAAGTGATGAAAGATGATGAAGGTGGTGGGAGTAATGTACCACCTTCGACTAGTAATGGACCACCTATTACTAGTAATGTCCCATCTTCCCCGATTGGCAGCATTAATGGAAAGGCAATCAGTCATACCAAGTTGCTTAGTCCTTTGTTTGCTCGCCGAAAAGGTCGTCCAGTTACTAAAAGAAAGGTCGCCAAAGTAGATCAAATAGTCAATCGGTTGAAGGCAAGCAAAAGAAAACATAACAAATCAAAGGTAAATTGATTGGTTTTCATACATATCCATTCGTTTTGTATCATTACTCTCTATTCAATTCATATTTTATTGTAATCATGTCATACATTTGAGCCATTCATTAACCTTTATCAATATAGGGTACTAAAGTGATTGGAGGTGGAGGTGAAGGTGAAGGTCAATGCCAATCTCAACCTGAACGTAGTGCACATAGAAAGCTTTATCCTTATATGGTTGGCATGGAAAATAGTATGTGTGTGCCGGCACGTGTACATCGAGCAAACTGTTTTTCAATAATGTTTAGTAAACTGGTTTTAACATTTCATTTTAATTGAACAGGGACACATGGTCAATGCTATTGGAGGCACATCTCTCACCCTGCCAAGTGTGGACATTATGAGAAGACAAAGTTTCATGAATGCCCCAACTCAAATTTATGGAGTCAGCACATCTCTGACCCTGTCAGACTGTATTGGAGGCACACCGGGATTTATGACAACTCAACAATCCATGACTGCTACGCATCAAATTTATGGAGCCGTACCGTCTTCATTTGTTGACTTGAATGTACAAATGGACCGCAATGACCATGGTGGTAGTTTTCGTTAGTTGGAAACTTGTAATTGTAATGCCTTTTATGTGACTAAACTTGGAGTTTATTTTGTTTTGAATAATTTATTTAATGCATTTTTGGTTAAGAACAAATTGATGTTGTTCCCTACTTTGTTGTTATAGTTAATGTTCCTAATTGATGTTATATTTGTGCTCTGTCTGTTACAAATTTAATGTGTTCCAAAATCTGTGTTTCAAAAAATCTGTGTCAAAAATGTGTTCCAAATTTGTGTGAAAAATCTGTTACAAATCTGTTCAAAAGTTATGCCTGCAAATCTGTCTTCAAAAACCTGTGTGGAAAAATCTGTTTTCAAAACTGTGTGGAAAAAACCTGTCTTCAAATCTGTCTTGAAAAACTAGTGTGAAAAAAATGTCTTCAAAACTGTGTGAAAAACCAGTGTTCGAAAAAGCTGTCTTGAAAAACCTGTGTGGAAAAATCTATCTTCAAAACTGTGTGGAAAAAACCTGTCTTCGAATCTGTCTTGAAAAACCAGTGTGAAAAAAATGTCTTCAAAACTGTGTGAAAAACTAATGTTCAAAAAAGCTATTTTGAAAAACCTATGTGGAAAAATCTGTCTTCAAAACTGTGTGAAAAAAACCTGTCTTTAAAACTGTCAAAAACCAGTGTTCAAATCTGTGTTGAAAAGGTGTCCAAATCTGTCAACAATGTGTGCAGAAATTGTGTTCACAATCTGTCAAGAATGTGTGTTAACAAGCTGTCCAAATCTGTGAAGCACATGTGTTCAAATAGACAAATAAATCTTCATACATAATGTGTTCAAAAACAGACAAACAGTCCAAAATCTGTCCAAAATATGTGTTCAAACACACAAACAAATAACTTTTCATAATAATCAGTCCAAAATCAGCCCAAAATCAGTCCAAAATCAGTCCAAAATATGTGTTCAAACACACAAACAAATAACTTCTCATAATAAGTCCAAAATATGTGTTCAAACACACAAACAAATAACTTCTCATAATAATCAGACCAAAATCTGTCCAAAATCAGCACAAAATCTGTCCAAAATCAACCCAAAATCAATCCAAAACTAGTCCAAAATCAGTCAAATCAGATAACAAACAATCCACATGATTACATATTCATACTTCTCAATCCATAATTGTAATATATCATAAATCTTCATACATATCATCTTCATAATTAATACAACACCAATTACATGTTCTAACTTGTATAAAAATTATTACATCTTCCACAAAATCTGTCCAAAATCAACCCAAAATCAGTCCAAAATCAGCACAAAATCTGTCCAAAATCAATCCAAAACTAGTCCAAAATCAGTCAAGTCAGATAACAAACAATCCACATGATTACATATTCATACTTCTCAATCCATAATTGTAATATATCATAAATCTTCATACATATCATCTTCATAATTAATACAACACCAATTACATGTTCTAACTTGTATAAAAATTATTACATCTTCGTAATTAATATAACACCAATTACAAGCAAGATGACGATCCCATTAATACAACACGAATTTCTATTTATGTCTTTTTGTAATTTTTGCATCTGCGCGTTCTGAAATTGAAGTTGTTCGCTTTGAAATCGAACATGTTCGCCCATACTTTGAAGTTGTTCGGTGACAGTTGGTGTATTGTCCATTCGCACTTGCTCTTCCTCCCTACGTTGTGAATTTGTAGGCAACATGGTTATCAGAATCCCGATCTGGATCTTACGATCCTACGATCTTACGATCCATTTGAGTGCAATCGATCCGGATCGTGTAAAAAACTCCTTATAAGTAGGATCTTTCGATCCTGGTAGTGGGATCTTATAGGATCGTGGAATCCCGATCCAAATCCGATCCAATTTACAAGCCTTGTTTTATATTGTATGACATATTTTGTTGTAAATTTTATATTTGTTGTCTAAATATCAATTTATGTTGTCAAAATAAATAATAAAAATTAAGTAGTATTGAATCAAATAGACTAAGAAAAAAAACTAGGAAACAAACATTCAAATATTGCGGTAATTTAAGAAAATTAAATAGTCGAAAAAACAAACTTAGCTTTAGCGGAGTCTAAGAAGGGTAAGATGATTGTAACTTTATCCCAATTTCTGGAGAAATTATTTTTGTGACTCGAATCCGCTCCACCAGGGATGCTAACGACAAACCTTATCATTCGACTAAGCTACTCTTTTGAGTTCTTAATCTATTTTCATATCCAATTTTGTTAAATATTTTTTCTTCACTTTTTATGCATTATTGTACATTGTAAAGTATTTTGTTATAGAATTCTTCTTCTTCTTTGCCTTCTTTTTTGATAAAATACAGAACTTTTACCATCGAGTTTTCTATTGCAAAATATTATATGTACATTTTACATGGAGTATTATATTTTTCACAATATCTTCACTTCTTTTTAATAAAATATAAGTTCATTTTGTGTATACTATACTTTATAAGAAATATTTATTTAAATTAAATTATTATGTAATTTGTCTTTTTCGGTAGGATCTTACGATTCTCGATCCGATCCTATAAACACCTCAAACGATCCAACGTAGGATCCCGATTTTAACAACCTTGGTAGGCAAGCACCATCCAATAAACCCACTGCAATCAGGACAACAATAAAAAAGCTTATTCTTGTTTCGTTCCGTCTCCGAAATTCGAATGATTGCTTTTTTCCGACATTAAAGACAATATCTGTTGCAAAATGTCAATTGATCTGATGTACTGCCGTTAACACTTGAAGTTGACATCTGCAAAAATATGAATCGAAATCTCAATCAGTTAGTGTATTAGTCTTAGGACTGTTTAACTTGCTAGAAACAAAGGTGGTTCCTTGAAGGCTAGGGGTGGCCACTGTTGGGGCCATAGGTTATGGGCAATCAGCATGATTATAACATCATGCTGGGCATGCACTTTTAAATGAAATTGGTCTTGTGTGTAGTGGTTGTGAGATGAGCTGTTGGAATATGTCTCAAATTCCCTTGAAGTTGGGTTTAGTAGATATTATTATTCCTCATCTACCAATAAAGTTAACTACAACTCTATAAATAGGTAACCAGAGAGACATGGAATTTATTGCTGTAAGTTGGAATTTATTCTAGAACTTGTGGAAAATTTTAAATCATGTAAATAATTCAATCAACACAATCATGTTCATGCTACAAATTCTTAAGTTTAGTGTCTTCTATACTTTTTTAATAATTAAAATTTTATTAGAACGGTTTAGTAGTTTTTTCATAACTGGTGTACTTAACTATACTATTAAAAAGTGAATAATTGGTTAATGTACATAATACTAGTACTCGTTTGGACTTTCAATTCACTTGTTTCATTGATCTGAATTTTCTTTTTTAAAACTTACACTAAATTGTTAATTCTCCTTCAAAATTAGAAAATTAATGTAAAAGGACTCATATGTTTATATTAGGTGAGGTTCAATTGTCCAATGCGGAAAGCAAAATAGCATGCAGCTGATATGTTCCCAAATGGGAACTCAGAAAATGGAGAACTTAAGTGCATTCAAAGTTATGGCCTTGATATGTCATATGTGATATCAGTTATTAGTTGAAGTGTTAGTTCACCCAAAGAAATCAGAGTACTGACCTCTACAAAGGCCACATTCTACATATTCTTGGTGAAAGCTAGAATATGAACCAAAACCTGATTGGCTTGTTTTGGCTCTGTTCATCGGTGCTTTTGTTTTGCTCCCAGTTCAAAGTTTTAGACTTCAAAAAAAAAAAAAAAAAAAAGGCTGTTTGGCTATGTATTGCAGGGTCAGTTTACTCAAGGTCCTAAACCAAACTAAATATACATATACACACGCATATATCGTACTCAAGTAAAAAAGGTACAATCTATACAGAAGTAAGAGCTTCTTTAAAATATGTGGAACAGAATCCAACCAAGTCCAACAAAAGACTTGAAGAGGACAGCAGCATTGTTGTCTTGCATCATTCATGAGAAATAGTCTTTATTCCTCAATTGAATAGGCCTGGACAGGCACTATGCAAGTCTTCTACAATTGGCCCAACTAAGCTGTGTCTAGCTTTAGTAACTGTTCTAATTATGGCGTTCTAAATATTAACTAGTAGAAAATAGTAAAACCAATAATCGAACCAAGCCAACTTGGTTCTCTCTATAATCTCTCCTCTTTGTCTCCTTCACTTCCACTCTTCCTCCGCTACTACACTACAAATGGTGGCTCAGCAATAGTTCTACAATCTTTTTCAATTTCATCATAACAAAATACCACATAAAAGCATGCAAGCTTTTGTTGACGCCACAAGTTGAAGCTGAACAATTGATGACCAAAAGTTGTATGTCAGATGAAGTATTTTCGTTCCATATTTAGAAACTCTGATTTATAGTATGTAACAAGCATAAAGCAGTCTACAGATCAATTAAAATTGCAAGTTAGCAAAGAGGCCATATCCTTAAGCATTTTTATATATTCTCTACCAAATATATATTTTAGATTTTTTAGGCAAATCCTGTTTGACCCTTATATTTCAACCAGATGCTTCATTCTTTGAATCATCTAAGCTTTTACAAATTTCCATTACAGAAAATTTCAGCTAAATTGCACATATGCTTTACTTACTAAGTATTATGTAGTTGCTAGTTCCATGTCTTGGGTGCCCTTTTCAATGCTTTCAATTCTTTTTTCTGCAGGTCTCTTAATTCTAACAGTTTCTACAGGTCTCTTAATTTTAATTATTGAAGTTTGTAAACTTTACCATTGATCTGAATTTTTTTTTTAAACTTACACTAAATTGTTAATTCTCCTTCAAATTTTGGAAATTAATGTAAAAAAAACAAAAAACTTGCATGAAACATGCTTATTATGTGCATATCAACTTTCTACGTCATAGAATCATGAGAACTACAGTCTCTCCAATAAACTCAATTGCCCAAAGATTTCAATACAACACATAATGACTCTAACCCATCAATCCAAAAAATGAGGTAACCCATTACAAACTTTAGACTGTTCTTTTTTCTCTAAACAAACTGACTTCAATTGAAATGTGTTGTGAATTTTTTTTTCAATTAAAGTTGAAATGTTCTTTTTCCTCCAAACAATTTTTTTTTTAATTTGACAAACCTTAGGGTCACTGTTCTCTCAATAAGTTGCACAGAAAAAAAAATTAAAGTTGAAATTTTTTACAATTAAAATTTTCAATTAAGTTAAAATTATTTTTTTTCTGTCCAAAATCAGTCCAAAATCAAAATCAAAATCAAAATCTTCCTAAACAGATGAAATCAAAGTGAAAGACACAAATCAGGGCATGAAATCAAAGTCAAAAATCTCAACAAATCGGGGTGTATAGATATAGATATATAAATATATATATATATAGAGAGAGAGAGAGAGAACTGACCTGTGCAGACAGATCTGTGATGACGGAGAGAGACTCGGTCGTCGTCGGTCGTCTTGAGAAGCTGCGCTCGTCGTTCTCGTGAGAAGCTACGCTCGTCGGGGTTGTAGAAGCTGCGTTCAACCTCGATCGTCGCCGGGTGTAGACGCCAGATTTGGACTCTTTGGTTCAGATTAAGAACCGTGACACAAATCGAGTCCGAACTGTAGCATGAGGCCCACACGGGCGCGCTCTACACCGGGGTTGGACAGCTACGCTCGTCGTCTCGCCGCTGTTGGAGAGCTACGCTCGTCGGGAGCTCGTCGACAAAGAGGCACAGCAGAGAAGAGAAGAGAAGGAAGAATAGAGAGAGAGTCTTGTTTTGTGAAAATGAATTTGAAATTTGATATGAATAAGAAAGAGGGAGAAACGGGCGAGTTTACCTCAACTTTCCACGTTGGCAGCCACGTCATTAGTGCCGATTTAGTGATCAAGTTTTCGAGATCGGAAGCATTTTCGTAAATTTTTTTATCAAATAAATAACTAAATGTTTCACATGAATGTAGATCTCACACCTATGTGAGACATTTGATAATTTATTTAATAGAAAATTTGGAACTTGTAGTATTTTTCAAATTAAAAATGTAATTAACTTTTTATTTTTATTTTTTTCACTCAACAAAAATGTCTTTACTAATGCCAAATTTTTGTTCGAACAGCTGAAGGGAACTAAAGACATTGAAGCAAGCTTGGTATCATGGATTTTTGATATTTGTTTTGTTGCGCAGCACTTTCATTCTTGTAAAATCTCCTTAACATGTAAAAGTTATTTTCATTTTGTTAGGAGGTTGGCACGTATTGCTGCATTTTCTCGTATCCTGACTTATAGAGATGTGAACTTTTCTTTTTGACATGGTTAGGTAGTAGGAAATATTTTGCTTTATTTTGATTTCTTTTTCTGCTTGTAATCATAATAAGTTAATTTGCTAGTATGTTGTATGGACTACTATGTACTAATGTATATTTTAGTTGAAGTTCTTATGTCTGCCAAAAAAATAAAAAATAAATTTTTTTTATCAAATTTGAATATAAAATTAATGAAAAGTTTGAATTAATATCATATACTCCAATACTAAAATTAAAATTTTCATCAATTTTTTTCACATTTCCAATTGTCCGAGACAATTTTTTTCACATTTCCAATTGTCCGAGAAAACATCTTAGTAGATGTCCAAGAAGTTGTCCAGACATTAAAAAAAAACTGTCAAATTACCTTAAATGGACATTCGATCCAACAATAACAATTTAAATTTAATGAAGGATCAAACCTCCCTTCCATTTGATGAAATCTCTATTTAATATCATTTTATTGAAAACATTGAAACTCACTTTTTATAAACTTTTCATCAAATTTAAATTTGATGACATTTAAATAGAGAGGGGAGATGGTCTAATCAAATAGAAGGGAGAGTAAAAATGTGCATGTAATGCTTGTTATATGAGCCACAATGCTAACAGTAAATGTTGTCTAGTAGTTGTGGTGAAGCACTATCTATGTAATGTTTTGATCAATAAAATATTGTAAAAGAAATAAATAAGGACAAATTTGTCACCACTCAATCGATTTTGGCCAAAAAAACTAAGGTACTAGTCTAAGTAAGTATTAAAACTGCTTTTTTTTACGAATAGAGCCATTATTATAAATTTGAACGGCTGAGGATAACATGCACATAACCAAATATCCTCTTTTTTTCTCTTCTTCCTCCCTGGCCTTCATCCCATTGAGGGCCATTGAATTTCAGACAGCAGAGTAGCACATCAGCCAACCAAACCACAACCAAAAAATTTCATTTCAAGTGGGTTCAAAATGCAACCAACATATTATGTTTTCAATACAGAGATGACAAAGAAAAACCCAAACCATAAAAATGAAATTCAGAATCAAATGAAATCTATTCTCCAGACAAGACAGCATATAGAACCAATCCTTGCTAACATTACCTATCACTACTGCTACTACTAGAGGCAATTTGCCGCATTGCTATGCATTTCTGACTTATTCTATATTAATTGTGACGACTTTTTTAGGTCTTCCGCCAGAAGATGACGTCCTGGCATCACTATAAGCTCCCATTGTTCGAGTCCTTGCAGGAAACCCTTCGATTGGAAGGGGCCAACTACTCCCACTCGCACGTCCCCTCTGTCCACTGCTGCTAGTACCTGCAGAACCATTGCTTGGAATGTGAAATCAAGTGCATGTCTAATAAAAATATAGAAATACATATTTATAGAAAGAATCAGCCAGCACTGTAAACCCACAGTAAATTTAAGGACACAGGTGAAATTTCAAGGCCATTCCGTCATGTCCTTGATCTAATTACAAAATGTAAAATTACTGCAATGAATTGTAATCATAGTGTCTTACTTGGTTATACTGCATATGGTAAATACATGTAGAAATAAACCACAAAGATAAAAAGTCGACTACTAAAATTAGCACCAGACCAGTAGAGGACAGGAGAAAGAAAGTCAACCAGACATGCAAATTTCAACAAAGATGAGCGGAGGTACACTATTGATACCAAAAAATACTTGCTACAGCAAATAGCCGGAATACATTCAACTCTGACACAAACCATTCAATGAATTGGACATGCTTACAGTTACAGATTTAGCAACAGGATCATCTTAAAATTCCAAAAAAAAAAAAAAAGAAAAAAAAAAGAAAAAGAAAAACAACAACAACAACAACAACAACAACAACAACAACAAAAAAGAAGAAGACATGCTTACCTGCAGTACCATTGAAGTTGAACCTATCACCCCAACCAGGCAAATGCCTTTCTGCATTACCTTTCCAAGATTGTTCAAAACCAGCAAGCTCGTCTGAGACAACACCACAATATAAGCTTTCTGTTTTAGACAACAATGTAATATAAGGAATGCAATTTGTCACAATTGATAGCAGGAACAAACCTTCATTCAAATTATGCAAGGCCTGCATTGTATCCACCTTACCATCAGAATTAAGCTTCCTTGTAACTGAATGGCCCTATGTAAGTAACAAAACAACAAAACCAACTCAATCTCAATCTCCATCCAAAGATCAATCGGCGGAACATGCTACTAAAGTTTGTAATCACATTGAACTCACAAAGCGTGAAGTAACTATGAAATATTCCTAAGAAATAAGATTAAGCATATATCAAACATGAACCAATCAATCCTGCAACCTAAGTAACCATATGATCCAAATTATTTAGAGTTTTCTGGGTGGAACAAGCAGACAACAGAGTGCATCAGCCAGAATGTAACCAACACACGCACAACAAAAAACTACCACTATAAACAACTTGGCATGTTCTTGATAATAACAAGAAGCAAGGACTTATATGGAGCAATCATATCCCAAACACAAACACGCAGGCACCAATATGTTTCTGACAAACTCAACCAACTAATAATACACACAATTGCAGGAGGACCTAAGCCTTTGGTTAAAATTGAAAGTAAAGTTTGCAATCCAAGGCTAATAGAATGCAAAAACTGACAGAATCTTTATTGTGCAACACCACATTTAATTCCTCAATCCATAATCTGTTCTCAGCAAGCAAGGCTGATTTTAAAAATATCAAACATTTCTCGTTGCTAATTCAGGTTAAGTTTCTAGAAGGGTTCAGCATTCATTCAACGGCTTCAAGCAGTCCTAAATTGTTGGTGTAGTTAGGGATGCGGACAGTATGTGTAGTCCAACAAACTGCAGTATGTTAGATTTCTTTGTTGGGTTCTTTGTCAGATGCATCTCGAGCCACATACTAGCTTTGCATACTCCTTGCTGTTCTTTTTACTACTTCATCCATAATGTTTATATCAAAATTAATTTTATTCTCTGTAAATTTTGTTTTCTAATTCCTCAAGGAAGATTACAAGTAATACACAGTAAAAGATAATATATGACCCCATAACATTGTAGATAAGGGCCGACTACCTATCTAAAAACAAGGGGGGGGAAATGACCAGCCAACTCATGAAAAGGCTTCACACTTCATACAGAAGAAAATACCTTGTCATGTATTCCTCGAGAGATTCTATGTGTTGCTTGTCCCGTTGTTTTATCTGCCTGTTTGCACTCTTCCAGCACCACCTGAATCCCAACAACATAATTAAACTGAAGGAAACCAGCAACAAATTGACTTCCTAAAGAACAACAAAATAGAACTTACAGCATCGCCGCCAGTCTTTCGAGTTGTGGTGGCAGTGTAATAAGCCCCATTTATACCACCATATGTGACTTTCTGGAAGCTGACACTCTGAGCCTGGGGCTTTGTCACTGCAACCTTATTGTAGTCAGTCCTATAAGTCACATCCTTGCTCTTCCTCTCTGCCAGGTAACCATAGCAAATACTTCCCATTAGTGAACAAGATACAACTGCAAACTCATATAAACACCTTCTCACGTACAAGTAACCTAAACAAAAAATCCAATTTACCATCAGCTTCATCATCGGGGTGCTCAACATTTGGAGCTTTGTTTGACCCATTATTCTTTTTAACTTTTTCTTTATCCTCTTGGGCACCCATATTATCAACTTGTTCTTCCTCATCATCAGTATTTAGTTCCTCAATAACTGGTCCCTTTGATCCACCAACCTGTGGTGAATCTCTGAAAGGACTGCCTGAACTAAACATGCTAGGTCCGAACATACTATCAAAGGGGCAAGTAAAGAATGGATCGTCAAATGGATCCCTTCCTCTGGAAATGCTGGACATCATGCTCCTTTGGCGGCCAAGACCTCCAAAGCTCCCAAAACTATCAAAAAGTCCACCTGAATTGATGGACCCTTCTCTGACTTCTCTATCCCTCTGCATTTCCTATGAATCCTAAAAATTCAAAAAACAGAAAATTCAATAACAACAACCAAAAAAAAGAAGAAGAAGACAATCTATAGAAATATACATGTATGTGGTGCATCAAGCTATATAACATTCTCCCTTGCGTGAGATGAAAAAGAGAATGTATGCAAACAAAGACCAAATCTAAAGGGAGAGACTTGAATCCAAAAACTCACCCAACCAGAGCTCTGATAACAAGTTAGATCACCACTCATCCTAAAATCTTAAACTTTTAAGAAATGAACCCAACAATATATATCAAACTGTCTGACAGCCACTAACAAATTAACGGCAAGTGCATGAACCCATTAATATTGATGCATGGGAACCATTTTTGTTTGCGTAAACGTGCACATGTATATGTATGCACGTGTAACCTAGGTAAGCAATAAGCATAAGGGCCAATATGGTGCCTTGCCTTCAAAGAAGAAAGATTAATCATATTACTCACCAAAAGTTTTTTGGAAGCCTCTGAAAAGTTGAGGCCTTCAACAATAATAATTTTTTTAAATTTTCTGGTGAGCCTTATGTTGCCTAATAGTTGAGCCACTCTGTTATTCACGACAAAGAAAATCAAAAAGCAGCAAGCATGCCTCCGTTTGGGAAGTGGGTTGGCTTTTTGGCTTTTTGGCTTTTTTGGCTATTTTAGCCTGGGCTAAAAAGTTTGGTTTGGGAAGGGCTTTTTGGCTTTTTCATTGTGAGAGAAGAGTGAATGATTATGGGTTGGATGTGATGTTTTGTTTGTTGTGGCTAAAATAGCCTGTTTTGTCTTTTGTGGCTATTTTAGCCCCAACCCACTTGCCAAACAATCAGCTTAAAACCAACAGCGTAAGAAGATGATATCAAATGCTAAACTAATCAATCCTCAACAAAACAGATAAAAAGAGCAAAAAGACTTGCTTAACGAACTGACAACAACTTCGAAAAATTTGTTTTCGAGTTTCGAAAACGGTTTACAAAAAATAAATATGAAAAAGTTTTTTTTTTTTGGCGGGGGGGGGGGGGGGGGGGGACACGAAAAACGAAAGTACAACTTGGCCCTAACAATACGATCGTCTCTTGTGTTTCGATTTCACAGAACTGAGTTAATTCGAGTGTATAAGTTTCTACAAAAAACAATAAATCAATCAAAACTATATAATTTTGCCTTTACCAAGCCTAAATTCTCTCTGTTTACCGATATTTTCTCAGGAACCAAACAGAGCGTAAGAAAAATTCTACAACAATCATAATCACAAAATAAGAATTTCGCAGACAAAAATGCCATGAAGAAATGCAATTAATTGGATGGTGAGGATATTAAAGCTAAAAGCAAATGAAACAGAGATTGAACAGAGCTTACAATCTAGCAGTTTCGAACCCTCAATCATGGAAGAGAGAGCGAGAGAGAGAGATACTTTGAAGAAAGGTCGAGAGAGACAGAGAGAGTTCCAGAATCGAATATGCTAATAGGTAGCCTGTGAATTTAGTGATATATATAATAGAGAGGGAAAAATAGAGTATGACTTATTTTTTAAATTTTTTTCATATATAAAAAAAACGTAAACAAAATATGTAATAAATATAAGTTCAGTTAATATAAGTCAGTAAGTAATTTATTAACATGTTTTTAAAAAAGGCCAAATAGATTGGTTTAAAATATAAATTATTTTTGTAATTTTAGAAATATATCATATCCTTTTAATTTTTTAATTATATAAAATGTCTCATTTATTAATAAATTATTAAATCAATTAAATATTTTTAATGATATCAAAATATATTTTAATTAATAATTAAATGATTATTTTTATATATGAGAGTACATTAATAATATCATTTTTTTTATTAATTTTGTTAATTAAAAAAATTTAACAATGAAATATTTATAATTTTAAAATTAAAAAGAAAAATTCATATTTAAGTAATTTCGGGAGTTTTTTTTATTATATTATTTTATTTTTATTTTATTTTAAAGTTAGAGCCAGAATGTTCCTTGTATTTATGAAATAATAAAATATATCCTTTTTGTTTTGTGTGACGTGGGCCAAGTGGCTTATCGTAGAATCTTCGCGTCGTATACTTCATCCATCTCAAAATAATAATTTCAAAATCTTAGGCTCGATTCGATAACTATTATTAAATTATAATTCTATTCATTGATTTCAGTGTATTATTTATTTTGAATCTTTAAATCATAATTCTACACACATTTTTAAAAAATAA